TATGACGATTCCCTTCTAAATGATTCGTCGAACAAGACTATGCCATAAGGGCTCGCCACTTTGAGGGTTACGAGATGCAAGTTACCTTCGCCCAGTCAAATTTGACAGGACGAGCAAAGACTTGGGCCTTAGGGCTCAAGCTTCACGACCCAAACGTGTTTGAGTCGTTAAAGATCTTAAAATCTCGACTCAAAAAGACGCGTGAGCCGCCACAAGCCGAATTCAGATCACGCTCTGCACTCTTGAGGCTCAAGCAAGGTAAGCGTGATGTGCACTCTAACGCACAATACCTCCTCTACCTTGCTAGAAGCGTCACGGAAAATGCTGTTGATGAGCACAAACTAATCAACGTGTTCATCTACGGCCTTGTAAATGGGCCAATGAAGACCTACATGTTCCAAGAGGACTTCCATACGTTGAAAAGGGCAATAGCGTACGCAGAACAAAAAAAACTTCAGCCTGAGACAGTACTAGGCTAACTCATCAAACTATGTCCGACGAGACGACAAAAAAGAGGATGGTCCGAACCAATGGACCTCTGCTATGTCAAGAGCGAGAACTCTCGCTCTCTGAGTCACAAGCTATCGGCAAGGTGCCATCGCTGTCAGAAGATTGGACACTATGCTCATGAGTGTAGTGTTCTAAGCATCGCAACACGTCCAAAGACAGGACGTGATGACCACAGTTGGTCAAAGAAAGGTCCAAGGCGCGGGTCCGACCATGTTGCTAAGCCTCGACAGCAAGTCGGACCGTCAAAAGCGGACAGGGTCAGTAAGGGCGGAGCACCCTGCTGATCCAGCAATATCAAGAGAATTGGCAGGACTCTTGAAGAAGATTGCTCTTAACACACAGTCGCTGTGTGTTACTGCCCCTAGTGATGAGGTGTCTCTCATTACTTTGAAGATCGAAGTGACAAGTGGAATGTCACTTCGCGCCCTAGTTGACTGTGGGGCGTCGAACAGTTTAATTCGACGACAGTCGCTGAGGGATAGTAGGCTCAACTATGTTGAGCGAGCGTTCCCTCCAACGAGGATGACGGTGTGCCTTGCTACAGGCGAATCCGTAACAGTGAACAAACGTGTAGTGGGAATTCACTACACGCTGGTAGGAAAGAAGTATGATGATGACTGTATCGTACTAGATTTGGATGACAAATTTGATGTCATCCTCGGTCTGCCATGTTTTTGAAAGTACCATCCATGGGTTAGCTGGCAGCATAGATCCGTGAAGATACCTGCCGTTTGCTCATCAGATGGCCATCTGATGAAAGTATCGGAGCGTCCAAAAGCGCGTGAATGTACCACGAGTGAGTGCGATGGCCTCACTTATGGTACGGTCGTTAGTACGACTGCACAAGATCACAGTGTAGAAGGCCATTCCACTGTGGAACCAGCTTCCGGCACCTGTGTAGAGACACAGGCTGATCCGAAGGTTCACCACTTAAAGACATCGAGTGGACTGGAACGCGGATGCACACCAAAAAGGGTGTATCCGAGAAGAGAGATTATTGTTGTTCAGAGTGAACAACACGTTGAAGCGAGATCGACTATCAGAAAGTCGATCGAAGAGCAATTCCGATCGACTGAAAGGGATTCGATCGAAGAGGACGTGACTGTGGTAGTACACCCGAAGTCAGAACACCGATTATTAAAATGACCCAGCGTTCCTGAAAGTGATAACTCCCGAGAGAGTTATGTTAAGGGTGTGGATCCCCAACCACCTGCGGATGTGTTTTCCCAGGAAATCACCGAGACAGTGAATGTCTTGGTGAATGACGGATCAAGTTTAGGTGCCTATAGACTTGATCTGGTTACACCTCTGAAGTCAGCTTGGGAGGAAATCAAGTGGCCAAGGCTAGAATCTTTAGATTTTTGCAAAATTTGCGTAGTGATAAGATCAAAAAAATCTGCGTACTCGTCATGGAGGACGAGTACGTACCCGATATTTGGTCGGCACAAGTGTTTACTGAGAACGAACGGGTTCTCAGTAGCTCATCGATGGATGAAAGTGTCCCCGATGAGAAGACCCGGATTGAGCGATACACGTCTCAATCTTGGGAGTCTTTAAAGACAAATCCTTTGCATAGGGATTTGGTTGAATTCAGGGATTTATCCCGGAATCCTTTTATGCGAGTTGCCTAAAGATAAAGGCACTTGACATTAAATCTAACTCTGAAACCCCGTTTGAAGTACTATGTCATGAAGCTGTGGCCACGTCATCGTGAACGGGTCACAACGATCGACAAATTTTTTGCCGAGCACTCAGCTGCTAGGCATGTGTGGGAATCAACATCCCCTCATAGCTCGCCGACTCTCTGTGTGCGAAAAGCCACAGGCGGGTAGCGGATAGTGCACGCATTTAACAAATTGAACGCTGCTACGGTACCGGCTCAAACGCTGATCCCAAGGAAGGACGTCATCATAATGGTTAGGCAAAAAGTACCATCTTCTCGTCCATGGAACGGATGGATAGATTCTATCAGATCCTCATGCGTGAACGGGATATCCCGTAAACAGCAGTGAGCACCTGCAGTGTTATGCTCTGGGAGTGGCTAGTAATGCCACAGGGGCTAACTTCCGCCCCCGCAACGTTTAACAGATGTGTCACGAATCTGTTGCGATTGGTGCGCGACTTCGCACCGAGTTACTTCGACGATGTCTTCGTCCATAGCCGGGCTATGGATGGAATGATGAACGTTGAGATTCATAGAATCCACGTCAGGAAGGTTCTTACGCTAATGCGTGAGCATAAGTTGCTCGCGAACCTCAAAAATTGTATAATTGCATCGAACGAAATACTACTTCTTGGCTACATCGTGGGTAAAAGGAGTTCGCCCTGATCCGGAAACGATCAAGACGATTAGCGACTGGCATGTGCCAGCCGACGTCAAGGGACTTCGAAAATTCCTTGGCTTTGCGGCGTACTTGCATAAGTACTCGCGCAACTACGCCGAGATGACCGTACGTCTATCTCTTCGGTTTAAGAAAAATGAGAGGTGGTCATGGAGTGCTGAGTATCAGCAAGCCTTCGAAGGTATCAAGAAGAGTTAAGTACAATTGCCTGTGTTGGCGATTGGGTACCAGGACAGAGTATTCCACGTGGTCTGTGACGCCAGCAATTCTGCAATCAGCTGCTCGTTAATGCAGTACGAATCAGATGGCGTTGAGCGCGTCGTCTGTAACCGGTCGCGTCAGCTGCAAGCAGCTGAGCGAAATTATCCGATTCATGACAAGGAACTCCTTGCCATGAAGTATGCACTGTCCAAGTATCGGGTATATCTCTTAAAGATAGGCCCTTCATCGTTTATACCGACCACGCGGCGTTACGCACGACCGTAAGCAGTCCACACCTCTCGCAACTAATGGCGAGGTGGCTGTCTTTCTTCGCGGAGTACAACTTCTCCGTCGAGTATAAACCAGGACGACTTTAAATCGTCGCTGATGCTCTTTTGCGTCGCCCCGATTTCGAGCCGACTGCTCAACACAACAGTAGGGTTGATCCCACTGTCGCAACACTAAAAGTGAGTGTTGCGTCGTCGAATCTGCTCAATGACGTGCGAAAAGCATACACAGAAGATGAGTCTCTTCTACGGTTGATGGATTACGTACTTAATCCGTGTAATCAAGCTTTGAAAAGATTTTCGTCTCAATACTGCTCTTCAACCGAACGGTATTCGGTTCGTGATGGACTGCTGTACTATATAGCAGTCGACGGCGACTCACCTAGTGTCGTCGTTCCGGATCATAATGATTTGCGATTGCGCAGCATGCCTAAGTGTCACGATGCCCCAACAAGTGGACATCGCGGTAGAGAAAAGACTTACCTCACGGTAAGTCGTGAATTCTACTGGCCCCGCCAGTATGTGTTTGTACGCAAATACATTCGCGCTTGCGAAGTTTGTCAACGAATGAAGTCTAGTCCTTCATCCCGCGCACCCTTGCAGGTTCTATCGATTCCGGCAGAGTGCTGGTAGTCCGTATCGATGGACTTCGTCTTTGAATTCCCAATTACACTCACAAAAATACTGGTATTCTTGTGTTTGTTGATCGGTTCAGAAAGATGGCAAATCTTGTTGCTGTAACAGAGTCAATCACAGCCCCGGGCTGTGCGCGTGTCTTCATCGATACTGTCTTCCGACTTCACCGGTTATTTCGTGAGCTTGAGTCTGACTGGGACCCCCGCTTTCAGCGTAGTTCTGGCAATCCTTGTTCCGTTCACTCGGAACACAGTTGAAGATGTCGATTTCTGACCATCCTAAATAAAATGTTTTGACGGAAAACTTTATCCGCGTTTTCGGAGAGATACTTCGAGGGTAGGTCCGCTCGTTCGCAAGTCGTAGTAAATTTTTGCCGATGGTGGATTTCGCCATCAACAACTCGGCGGAAGCGTCGACAACGCATACACCGTTCTTCGTGAATGGCCTACGCCATCCACTTTAACCAGCCGTCTTAGCGTGTCACTCTAGTTTAAGAGGAAGTGGACGCGCTCGAACAAAAACCGTTCTAGTCCTTGCTCATCACACGTCGACAATGACATTGACGTGTTAGATTCCAATGTAGATCACATCTACATCGATTATGGTGATACCGATGATGATGGTGTATTCAGCCTCCAATGGCTGATACAGTAAGGAAGGTGACGCCCTCACTGATAAAGACAACGTTCTTTCAGCAGTGCGCACAAAGCGCACTGCTGTTATCAAGGACGAGTCAGGAGAGGAATTTTTGCTGTCTCGCGAAGCAGTTGTCCGCTTCGTTCAAGACTCTATTGCAGATGCAATAGACAAGCAGTAAAGAAACGCAGACCAGCACGAAAGAACCACTGTTCTTTAATTTGACGAGGGAGACTTAATTTTACTGTCAACAGTAAATCTACCGAAGCACGCAGTGACAACGTGGGCAGCAGTAAATTTCCGCCCAAGTTTATCGGTCCATTTCGTGTGTTGCACCACATGGGCAACACATGCACGATTGAACTACCTCGTAGGATGCCTACGGACCCTATGTTTTACGTTGGACGTCTTTGCCCATAATATCAGTACGAGCCCGTTTCGAGAGGCGAAGAACCCCTTCGCGTTCAAAGGCCAAGACCACCTTCGAGTGGTCCCGTTTAAACGAGCCAGTCTGGTCGACTAGCGAGGCGACCTGGTCACGCAATTGAGCGACTTTCTGACGAGCTGTAGTCATTTCGTCACCAAGAGAATATTAAACGTTCGTTCGCTCTCAAGTTGCTCGAATGCAAACGCGGCACGATCGTTTGAACGGTCGTGCGCTAAGAAATTGTAACTATCCTTTACAAGGTCATGGAGCTCACAATGCCGAGTCCGATCATGAACTAGATCATCACGTAACTGTTCCGTTACACGGTTCAGCTCTTGAACATCAAGCTGATTTGACCCTCGAGCCGGATCTAGTGTTCCCGCCACCACCACACCCTTTGGTGGATTTCGGCGGTGGTCAACGCTTTCTGGTGGAGCGTATTTTGAAGTACCGCGACTTACAGGGCGTCGCGTCGAGTTACCTCGTCCGCATGCGTGGCTATTCACCGGCTTAGGACAGCTGAGAGCCTCCCGCCCAGCTGATTGTTGATTTTCTGAGTCTCGTCAGGCAAAATGAAGTGACACACCTGCTGCATTCGAAGAAGGGCCGTCGAAAAACGACCAACCCGAACGCGAGTACAAACATTGTACAGTGCCAATCCCTTCTTCCATCTCAGCAGATATGCGCACCCTCCAGTAGGGATCATTAGGGAGGGAGGCCTCCCTAGGAGCACAATTAGAATTTTCTAGGTAACCTGGACACGAATCACCCCACGAGAGACAGGTTAATCCTGCCTCTCTTGGCAGCCGGTGCCAGCTGCATCAATTTTACCAAGCCAGGTCTCACGTCCAATGCGCTCGATGTTATGGATGAAGGCATTCCGTTATTGGACCAAGGTCTTACCGTCTCGGCCACTGTTGCCATTGCATTGCCAATGTTTGAAATACACATCGGTGCAAAACTCCATCTCAGCACGGATAGTTTCCGTGCTGGAATTAGGAGAACATATCCTCCTACAGTCGAATAACGGATTATGATCTCGTTCGGTGCTCATACCGGCCAATTGATCTAACTCCTAGGACGATGGCATCCAAGGAGATTCCCCTTGAGATGCATGGCAGGACATTCTGGTCTCTGGTCTCTTGAGTGGTGTCAGCATGAGAACTGACACCAGTAGCAGCTCGATACCTCGAGTTGCTTCTCTCGTGGTGACACACAGATGCGTCACCACCATCACCACGCGTCCTAATGTCACATGGACTTGAGTGGGACGAGGATTCGTCAGACGAATTTCTCGGTCCAAAGATCTCGGGCCTGATGCCGCCACATTCCCCAGAGCCAGTAAACCTGGCTCTGACAGTGTTCAACCCCGTTGATCCGGAGCGGGATGCGTCGCATTTGAGTCGGATGCATCATCCAATTTGCCAGAACATATTAGCTATACTTCAAACTCATCCGCTTTGCGAGTCGCGGCACCCGCTGCAGATGTTTTTGTCGCACGTGGTGACTCAACACGTGGACTATTCACAGCAGGCACTGCCTGTTGCTGAATTGCAACAGCAGGCGGAGAATCACCTGCTGCTAAGGCAAGAGAAGTATACTCTTTGGCTGCACACATGCTCGCAACTGCCTTCTTTGCTAATTCGGTAGCGAGCCGCATGGATTTTGACACCATGCGATGAATTGGCAAATGCGTTCGAATTTGATCGACAAATGCTCCTTTTCAAGATTTATTTAACGGTAATCACTCTGAATCCACTCCTTGGAATTTAGTTACCGGGGTGATTGATGGTTAGGGGGGGGGGTGATGTAACGGGTAGCCCGTTACATCACATTGATAACAAATGGTGTCAATAGGGACGTTGTCTAGCGTCACATTATACTGCCAATATTACTCGAGATAGTTAATATTTAAGAAACAAAAATCCATTTGGAAATTTTCATGTGCTGCTTAAAGATTAGTTTATAAAAGACATAGCAACAAAGGTTGCCACCATTTGCTGCTGGACGCGCGTAATGAGTGGTGAGCAGATTGTTGTTATACGACAATGTAGCTTAATATCGTTAGATAAAGACTGAAGTTATATTGACAGCTTAACTATATTAATACAGTTCTCTTTTTACCCTTTACTTAAACTAGTAGATTAAGTAGATTAGCTTTCTCTGCACGTACTAGTGTACATCAAGTTTCGTGGCACCCCAATTAAAGCATGCCCTGTTGCAGTAGTATTCTTATTAGCAAGCATTAAGGTTAATTACATGTAACAGGCTCACCCCGTTACAAGCAGCCTGTCATGTTTGCTGCCCCATTCGGGTAGGTTCTGACAATCTTCCTTTCGACTGTAAGCAAAATTGATGAAGAGCTTTTGAGTAATTTCGAATTGTAAGTCCCGAGTTGCGATATACATAAGTGGAATTGCCGTTGGGTTATAAGATATGAGGTCGTCTCCATGTTATTATTTCGGAGCCAAATGCTTACGTACAGGTGAAAAACTATCGAGTTACTGGATGATACATCACTTTTGTCCTAAAAGGATTTTTACTTGGCCGTTATATCGTCTAAATTATGCGAGTTCACCGCATAAAATACTATGAAAGAGTATAAAGCACATGCTATAATAAACGAATATTTCGACGCAGTCAAAATGGTCGCGCCCTGTTCACACCTCCTTCATTAGCTGAAAAGATCGAATACAGGCGGCAGGCTCGAGTAAAACACAATCGTTTCAAAATGGATTTCGATTGGTGCAAGGAGCACCCTTGCAAATTCATTTTTGTCTTTATTTTTCTATTTGGTAGGCTCAAACTCAAAATACGATATCCAGCTGGAACAATATCGCCAAGACGACAGCCAACGTCGACACCATTATCACCATCACCACATACCATGATGTGATCATATCATTCACATAGAATCCGACAAAACCGTGCAGAGGTGAAATTTTCTATCACCGACGATTGCACTGTGCTTGTAAAAAATGCGTCGAATGTTGTGATTTCAGTGAATCCCATCAAAATGACTAGCGACTCGTCCAACATTTTACATGTTTTTTTGTGCTTGGAGATCTCCTCGGATTCTGCATGATTAATTGCAAGCGTATTTTCGACGCTGCGGAAGTAGTCTATTTCCAGTGCTGGTCGTTTGTAGTATGATGTCTCTGTTTTACGCCTGCACCGGTTTCATCAACATCACCTTCATTATCCCAAAACTCGACAAAGACCACACGACTGCTTTTGAAACCACACTTTTCTCGTCAAGAAGCGTGACCTGTGTGCCAGATAGCTCATCGAATGTCTCCTAGTGGGGAAGCTGCCAAGATTCTCTTTTAAAAGGTGTAAAACAACAACAAGAGAGCGACCATAGACTAACCACAGTGGACGTACAATTCTAATGGGGGACGTTTTCGGAGAGGAAACTACAGTGAGATAACGGGAATTCGTAAAATGCCCGGTCGATTTTGTAAACAGCCCGCATTCAGACGATTACTTTATATTTCTCTTTATTATGTATGCAACCCTCTTTCTTTACAAGTCAGACAGTGATTTACATGTCAGGCAATGATACTGCTCCTTTTTTAGTTTACCTTACTCTTTCACTATCACGGCCATCGTGGCTTGACGTTCAGTAGCAATTGTAATAGACCAATTTGGTCTGTAAAAGGTAGTCGTACCGGGAATGCTAGTAGGATAGGCCATTTCTCGTCGCGGCTGCTGTACGAATTCGAACACACTAGGTTCTTTATCAGGTTCGGTAGTCAGGGCATATAATTGGTAGTCATAGACAGCGGCCACATCTATAACGCGCACAAACAGAACATGTAACGCAAGCGTGGATAGACTGGGTCTTGCTCTTAAAAGTGCCAACACGGTGCATCCCGGACGATGTTAAAAATTGCAAGCCCTCGTATAACAAGCACTGATTGCTATTATAAACGCAAGCATCATGCAGACAATGGCACCTGCTACAAATGAGCAATGTTTTTAGGCAATGAATTATATTCTTGTACATTTAGTAGTCTACAATTGCTGGCTTTGCACCACTGTCGTAAAACCTCCTTATATATTGTCAACCTCACTTGGATTCCGGCTGTTACGTCTTGAAGCAGGCAGTACAGCCTGTCCTTCTTCGCTTGCTCGCGGATGTACACGATGCTTGTTGCACGGATATTCCAACTGATATGAACTGCTCCTCGACCAAATTGTAATCTTGTATGGGCAGTCACCTCTACAAGTAGCCCTCGTCTGCCTGTTGGTGATGGCCGAAAGCTTTAGCTGATGCCTGTCCCCCTGTACGCATTCCACACATACTCGATAATCGTCCTGCCTTTATAAATGCAAGGCAAATCCATTCCGCCGCGTGTAGGCAAAAGCAACACTCTTGGCAGCTGCCACACTTTCATGTACTCCTGATGGAAGTTTCTCTTGTGCCATATGGAAGTTTCTCTTGTGCCATCCAACTCAAAGGAACTGTGGTGGCACGGAAGCGATGAGTCTACTCGTGTCGGCCCTGTAACTTAGATGATGTAAAGGGTACAGCCAAGGTAGAAGGATTGTGATAGAATATAGGAAGCGAAAAACGTGCAGTATTACTGTCTGACTTGTGAAGAAAGAGGGGTGCAAACATCCAGAAAAGAGACACACTTAGTTCTCGTCTGATTGCGGCAGTTTACATCGCCGACTGTGCATTTTACAATAACGACAGGGCATTTTTACGAATCTTCAAGATAATTATTGTAAGCGGGATGGGACGCTGCGGGACGCCGCGGGACGGAGTTCTACTTGTAATAATGACCCGACAGGACACGCTAACTGCATTCAGTTCCGTCAGCTGTCCACCGTTAGGCTCGATACGTTTGGGTGTACGTTTTGGATTCTGCTTATAAGCAGCAGCGACTCGGACAATGCAACGAATGATACGCCACCACGTACTGCATTTGAGTGCAGAGTGCTGACCTCATCCTCAGAGAGTCGGTTGTCTGTCGACTCTCTGTACGCGACGACAATTGTCGCGTCTGGTCGGTGCAAATCGGAACCCTTCGTCCCCGTCCACTTTGCCAGTCTCTGGTTCCTCTATCTGGCTCTCTGGTGCGTGTGCGATTGCTGACCATGAATCTCTGCGGCTCGAAGTGGAGCTCTTTATTCTCGATCCTTCTTGGTCCAAGACAAGGCCCCAATGCCGACACTCTACGGCTTGACTCTACTGCTATCGGTCGTTTGGGCTTCCTCGTCTCAGGCCTCCAATGTCACGTGCGACCCGAATTACGGACAACTCAGTGCATCGGGTGACTGCGAGTGCCTCGATGGCTTCAGTGGTTTAGGCTGTCGTTTGTGTTCAGCTGACGCCGGAACGGACTCTTGCAGTGCACTAGGCGTCGACTATTCGTGTGTCACGGGGTTCACTTATGAGTCAACCACAACCACTAAAACGTACGCCTGCACCCTCTCCGCCGACTTGCAAGCTCTCTTCCCGGACGGAGCTCTTGATGTGACCTGTGACCGTGACGAGCAAGGCACGACCAACTGCACTGCGGCTGTGTACAAATCCGCCAACACTGTGAACGGAGACCACCTTATTGATTGTACCATGACGGAGTGTTCATTTGCTTCGGGCAGTGCCAATGGCGGGTGTGACATGATCAACTGTAAGTGCGGTGTCGGGTGCGGTGCAACGACCAAGACGATCATTGAGGGAATATTCAGCGGCAAACCAGTGAAGGTTGAAGTACAGGATGGATCGGACGAGATGTCAATCATTGTAGAAGGCGCGCCGCTTCCCTTGTCCGCCACTTGCAAAGTTTCAGGGTGTGACCAGCTAGGCAGTGCACCGGCGAGTGACATTGATACTGCAGCTACTGCTAGTGCTGATGATGACTCAAGTCTTACAGGTGGAGCGGTGCTCGCTATCGTGGCCTGTGCAGTCTTGTCGGTATCGTTGCTGTTGAGTTGCATGGCATTCTGCTGTTCTTTCGCGGGCACGCATCGAAGCCGACAGGAAGATGATCTGGAGACGGAGCTACTAAAGGTCAACTCAAGATCTGTGGATACGCTCAAGTTCCGGAACGTCAGCTGCTTCACGGACGGCGAGAAGCAGGCGGCACCCAAGTGCATTTTGAACAAAATCTCGGGAATGGTGTCACGTGGACAAGTGCTTGGTTTGCTGGGACCGAGCGGCTCCGGCAAGACGACCTTGCTCAACGCACTTGCTGCGGTGCGGAACGGACAGTCAAAGGTTTCGGGAGAGCTCTTGGTGGATGACAACAAGGTGACGAAAGCATATCGTCGCGTTGCTGCCTATGTGCAGCAAGATGATACACTGTACTCGACACTGACGGTCCGTGAATGCATTACGTACTCAGCTCAACTTCGCCTTCCGTTGTCGATGACGGATGCAGCCAAAGACGCCATGGTCCAGCGTGTTATTGAAGAGCTGAATCTTGGTCATGTTGCAAACTCTCGAATCGGAGTGGTAGGGGGAAGTAGCTCTGAACGGGGCATTTCTGGTGGTGAGCGACGGCGGGTTAGCATTGGAATGGAGCTGGTTACTTCGCCTCGAATTCTCATTCTTGACGAACCTACATCTGGACTTGACAGCTCGTCTGCCCACTCAGTGGTGAAGCTCATCAAGGAGTTGGCCAGTCACGATCGCATTGTGGTGCTCAGCATTCATCAACCGAGTGCACGATCGTTTTTACTGCTTGATAAGATCATACTGCTTGGAAAGGGTGAGTTGCTGTTCTATGGATCCCCTGCGAATGTCAAGGTATCCTTCAACGATCTTGGGTTCAATTGTCCTGATGACGACAACATTGCAGACTTCATTCTTGATGTCGCGAGCGACGTGGACAACATCCAGGTGCTTCAGTCACGCCAAGCTAATACGGTCTCCGAGAATGTACCGACATCAGGCGCGGTGCCTGCCAGCTCACAACAAAGTCACTTGCACAAGGCGGTTCCTTCTCCGACTACATTGGACAGTCCTCTGTACAAAGCTGAATCGTCGCCGTGTATGACGGAGGAAGTGTCCCGCAGTTTAGTCGCCTCGATTCAAATGACCACGGTTGAAATCCGCGTGCTCGTCGTACGCACTGCGCAGAACATTCTTCGTCACCGCTCGCTGCTAGTCCTGCACGTCGCGCTGAGCTTGGCGTTGGCTCTTTTCGGTGGACTGATTTTTAATAACGTCACCGATGACCTCGCTGGATTCCAGAACCGCATGGGCGCCTTCTACTTCACACTGACTTTTTTTGGGTTTGCCAGCATGAGCTCTATGGACGTGTTCATTGGCGAGCGTCAGATTTTCCTCCGTGAGACTGGAGCCATGTACTACGGAGCCTTCAGCTACTTCCTCGCCAAGACTACGCTCGACTCGATATTTCTTCGCGTTCTCCCTGCTTCGCTCTTTGCGTGCATCTTTTACTGGATTATGGGACTGCAAGCTGCAGCGGACCGCTTCCTTCTATTCTGGCTTACAGTGGTGCTCTTCAACGTGGCAGCGGGTTCAATCTGCCTTTTTGTGGGGGTACTGGCAACGCGTGTGGGTTCGGCTAATCTCGGCGCGACCGTCGTGCTGCTGCTTATGCTGCTTTTCGGTGGCTTTCTGATCAACAGCGAGACAATGCCAGACTCGGTAGGCTGGCTCACGCACCTTTCAATTTTTGGCTACGCGTTCGAGACTTTGATGGTGAATGAGCTCGAGGGGACTACTCTGTCGTTCAACGCACCAGGATACCCGGCCATTCCTGTTTACGGGGAAGTGTACCTCAGGACGTTGGGTATGGACTATGCTGACCGGTACTATGACGTCGCAGCACTTGCAGCGATTGCTTGCGTCCTACAATTTCTCGCACTCTGTTTCTTGTTGCGACAAGTCCCGTCAAACCACGACATGATTCGTTATGACCAAGATGGCGATGCTACGGTCGTTGGACAGAAGGAAGCGGGATACAAGGCGTGCGGTCTGGATTAAATGCTCTGGAAGGACAAGACAGTCGCGCTACTCGCATGTGATGGGATTATATGCGGTAAAACGCGTTGAGGTGATGGACATTTCTTCGCTGATCGACATTTGCCCTAATAGTCACGCACAATGTTAAAGCGTTACTAGCTGTATACAGATGTAGTACGTGCATCTGGAAATGTACTAGATCCCTTGTAGCGTTGATGACAAGCACAATGAAATCCGATTCGCCAATTGAAAAGGGGTGAGTGTCGTCGCATCATAGTCGCTCTGTGACAGGATACAGACGCTGATGTCCAGAGCTCAGATACGTCTGATTGGCCGAAAGTTGCCGTTTGATTGGCAAAGAGCCGGGTTTTAGCAAGGGGGCCGTTTGATTGGCGAAAGGGCCGTTTGATTGGCAAAGGGGACGTTCAAACAATTTGATTCATCACCACCACTTTTATCAATTATCACGAGCACCTGATGTGAACGACCGTTCATCGCTTCGTAATGCCACCTGCCAACGGTGACGCACACCCTTTACGACAATCATCAACAGTGAACAGTGAATGTACTAAGTAGTTGAAGACTTCATCTCGATAAGAGACACGGTACCGACACGACAATAAGGTAGAAATTGTTACGAATGAGCGAAATTGCATCTCTGATTCCATGAAGTGCGGTGGATAACTGTGCTGCTTTCGTCCCTTCCGTTGTAGTTGCATCTACTGCTGACAGAACCGCTAGTTTTATTGCATCATGGTATTCTCGACCCAACAATTGTACGGGCGTACAAAGATAGAGTTGGAAGGTCAGCTCAGCTGGCAACTAGAGCGGATAATAAGTGCGTGCGTCAGTGTCCTTAGCCTCCTTTAGATTGTCAATCGACAAATAAATTGAGACGTGTTTGTTAAATTACTGCGCTTCTTCCTCCTCATACCCGTGAATCCAAAGCGACGTTGACCAATAACCACTTTCATTTCGCCATTTAACGGTATCTTGTCCAACAACACGTGTCTACGTCCCAAACAAGACCGTCCGCCAGAAAGTTGCATCGTATACGTAGATGGCTGCATCTATGGCTCCACGTTTGACGTCTACCAACGGCTGCTTGATCCTTTCGATAACTCTCTACAGTTGACAATTGTCATTCAGTCTTGCAAAGAGTTGCGACCAAAATGACCTCAAATACAGATCATTTCGTGGAGATTACGACACCACCGTCAGAAGTCAACACCAAGTTTCTACCAGGACAGACGCCGCAATACACGCTGCAATGGCGCAACCTGAGTCTCAAAACCGTTACTAAAAGTCGTAATCAAGTTGAAGAGAAGATAATTCTCTCCAATGTCAGCGGGTGTGCACAACCGGGCGAGCTTCTCGTTATCATGGGACCTTCTGGTGCAGGGAAGAGCTCGCTTCTCGACTGTCTCTCCGGACGCAATAGTGCCGTTCAAGGAGACGTGTTACTGAACGGACATCCCTGGAGCGATACGACCAAGCGATTTGCTTCGTACGTCATGCAAGATGATCTCTTCTACCCGACCATTACTGTGAAAGAGCATCTAGTATTCCAGGCAAACCTGCGAATGGGAAAGACCGTATCGCAAAAACAATACCGACAGCGTGTGGACGACGTGATGGAAGAGCTGGGACTTCAAAAGTGCCGAGATACATTAATCGGTGGTATTTCGCTAAGAGGCATTTCGGGCGGCGAGCGCAAGCGTCTTTCATTTGCAACGGAGATCCTGATTAATCCGTCTATCTTATTCGCCGATGAGCCCACGTCAGGTCTCGATAGTTTCATGGCTGAAACGGTGACGATGCAGCTTCAGCAAATCGCTCGTGGTGGCCGAACGGTGATTGCGACGATCCACCAACCGTCTTCCGAGGTATTTGCGCTTTTTGACCGGTTGTATCTGCTTTCCGAAGGCTCTTGTGTCTTTCATGGCAAAGCCGTGGACTCAGTTGATTATTTTGCCTCGTTGGGGTATGCATGTCCGTCATTAATGAATCCGACGGACTATTTTATGAAGCAATTAGTTGTGATGGACAAAGCAACCGACTTGGGTAGTGTTGCACGGGTTGAGATGCTAAAAAAGGCGTGGGAGCAGCGTCAGCATTTGCCAATAATTGAAGAGTCCAATGAGGACGATACGGTTGATGATTATCAAGACCCACGCTTGGGGTTTCTCGAGCAGGTGGGAGTGCTAGCGCATCGAAATGTGGTTCGCTTTGTGCGCGATCGCATTACCTTCCGCGCAACAATTTTGCAAACACTGTTCATCGCTTTAATTGTGGGTCTTATTTTCTTGCAGCTAGATCTCGACCAGAAAGGAATCCAGAATTTTACGGGTGCTTTCTTTTTCTTAGTCGTAAACCAGACTTTCGGCGCCGCCAACCCCGTTTTCATCTCTGTGCCACTGGAATTACCGATCATCATCCGCGAGTACAGGGCAGGATTGTTTCATCTGTTTTCGTGGTATCTCGCTAAAAACGTGAGTGAGTTGCCAATGCAAATTTTGTTGCCGATTTTGTTCTTCGTGCCGACCTATTTCTTGATTGGTATTGGCCATGGATTCAAAGTTTACGTCTACCAGCAAATTGTAATCATTTTAGTAAGCAGTTGTGCTGTGGGGATCGGCTACATGGTTTCCTGTTTGGTTCGTCGAGTAGACATCGCTCCGATCATTGGTGTTGTCATTATCCTACCGTTCTTGCTCTTCGGGGGGCTGCTGATTAACTCGGAGGATTGTCCCGATTACTTTGTGTGGATTCAGTACGTGTCCCCTATCAAGTACGGGTTTGAAGCAATGATGAAGATTTTCTGGAAACAGGTTCCGACGATCGATTGCGACGACGCCATCGAAAACTGTTCGGCTCGAACTGGAGAAGATGTGCTGAAGAATTTTAGTATGCAGTCAAGGTCAGCGTTCGTTGACGGCCTAATCCTCTTGGTTATCAATGCTGGCTTCCGCACCATCGGGTTCGCCGGCTTGTGGCTTAATTTGCTGAAGAGAGGATGAAGGGATATTAAATCTGCCGAAGTTAGCTGTATAAAGATGTGTACGTCCTCTAACTTCAAAGTCAAACTTTAGTGGGACTTGGCGAGTCACCTTGTGCCTGGAGCGCCGCTGGAGCCGTTGTGAGCGCCATTAAGTGCTGGGTATTTGTCCGATAAGTGCCCACTAGGCAGTTGCATATCTAGCAGATGACCGCGATCTGTTTCCTTTTCCGATTCGTGACCGCTTATCTGTCTAAAAAGTCCCTACCAGGCAGTTGCATCCGGTAGATGACCGTAACTCCTTTCCTTTCCTATTCGTGATTTTGCAGTTTTAGGTAGACAAGCCGCAGCGTACACGTCATCCCGGATCGACGCCGCATCTGCAAGAGAACGATAGCGGTGGCAGGTTGAATAGATGGGTTGTACGAAGATCGAGTGGTTCGTATGCGTAAGAAGCTTATCTCACGGATTTATTCATTTTTGGGATGAGTTCGCCGATTGGACAAGGCATCTGAAATTCGACCTTATAAAAGGGAAAATGCCCCATTGCAAGGCAGTCCCACAATACGGCTCACCCTACGCTTCCCCTGTAATACAGTCATTCTTCAGATAAGCCATAGGGTTGGTGGAGACATATTCTGTGAATTAGCCGAGTATTGAGCAGGCCTCTTCGAACATTGGCAACTGCGTACAGTAATGTGCAAATGTGATAAGGCACCTTAGGGTGACAAGATTAGTCAGATTGGGAATTATGCTCTACATGATTTGTACGCAAGCGCTATACTGTTTGAAGCGCATTGGCATGTCATACTGCTTGCACTGCAAGAACCTTACAGGAGAAAAGACGTCAGTGACTTGTTAAAGCATCTTTACGAAACATCAGGATGGAGAAGTCACTTTCAACAGGTGACATGCTAAGAAAAGGCGACGTCAAGCCTCCCACAAGGCGGGCAAGCTGATCGAAGCGGCCGTTTGGACCCTTTTAGGCTCATGCACCATGGAACGAACACTTGAGCGCATGCATCGCTTACCGACTGCAATGACTCGTCGGTGCGAATTTAAGCATAGACCACTACACATTTGGAAGCGTTATTGTCGATGTCGGCGTACAAAAAGCGTCCAGCCGCTCTTTCTGCTGGTCTTCGGGCAACGCGATCCTTAGTCACTTGAGTTTGACCTTCTCAGACGGACACGTCAGTGGAGCGGGGTTGGTACTGCCATCAATGTAGCCGCCACCAGTAGCGCACCGTATTCGAGGAATGTAACGGGGTATCACATGATATTGACCGGTGTCGCTACGCTAGGGATATTGTCCAGAGTGGCAATCTCCTGCCAATATTACCTGAGATAGGTCGTATCGAAGGAATGTTATCCTCTTTGTTGAATAATATACATGCGCTGCTCGATTACCAACAGTCGCTGCTAGATGCGCGTAATGGGTGGTGAGCAGGTTGTCGTCACACGATAATATAGATTATTATAGTTGGATAAAGACTGAAGTTAAATTGGTAGCTTTACTATTTTGAATACAATTCTCTTTTTGCCTTTTACTCGAACTAGTAGATAAAGTAGATAAGCGTCCTCTGCATAAACGAGTGTACGTGAAGTTTCGTGGCATTCAAGCTAGGGTGCCCCGTTACCCCCCCTGTCGACCAGAATAATTGCAATACGACCCACGCCCACGGACTGTCCATAATAATGCTCGTGCCCTTTCAGTCTGCTCAGCGTTAAAATTTATAGTCGAAATTCAATCCAAGGGCTCCAAAGGCAGAGCAACCTGCTGGTGCCTGTTCTGCGTGCACGAGGTTCGCGACGAGGTCGAGGTCGTCCAGAACGGCATTAAGTGAAAGAGGACTAAAACACCAAGATGTCCACTGCGCTGTTCTATCGCACAAGTATCGCAGTTATTAGAGTTTTAGCACGCCGACTCGTGGGCGGTCTTTTAATGTGCCGAAAGCCAACAGAGATCTATGCTTTTCGAGATAGTTCAAGCCGATCAATACGCTGCAATGATAAATGGCGCTTAAAGACGACACGCTGACGTACGCTATCATCGACCACATCTTCAAAACCATTTTTGGAAACCTTTGCTTTCACAAAGACGAGTTGCTTGCCGTTTCCGACGTCAAAGATGATGTGGCCAGCACAATGTCTAAAAAGGCTGCCAAGTGGCCAGCAAAAAAAACAACTCCTTTAAATTTTTTGTCATGAAGGAGATGGATAATGACTGGTTCCAGACTATCTTTAATGGCGTAGAAACTGCTAAAAGTGTCATGCGACGGTAGAAATACCATGACTGGGCGAAGCGCTGGACTCGTTCCTCGTTTTGCACGTTAATTAAACACTAGCGTGCTATGTGTGAAGTGAACGCCGCGCAGATTATTATCGCAGTCAACTCGGCGGCTTTAGCGTCAACGACGGCATCTTTATTAATATAGTTACTCGCTGTCCGTCTATCAGAACAAATTGATCATCATGGTGGGCGTCAAGTATCGATAGGGGACAGATTGGTGGGTGCATCCGGTTGTGTCCTTAGAAAATTGCAAGAAGCTTTGCCAAATAATAGAAAAGTATCAATGAGGAAAAAACCGAGAATCTATCAGCGGCCGAGTGATAGCTTGTGACCTTCTCGGTGCCACCTGCAATCGATGAGATACTCATCACTATCAACAAGATGCAGAGCCACTCGCTTCTGATTGCGTAACACAAGGATTTTTCAAAGCATTAATAGACACCCCCACTACCACGTTCTGCGTTAAGTCCGTCCATCCTGACGAGCGCTATGAGGGGTGCGAGGTTAAATATGTATCGGACGACTCCATGCATATCGACCTCGCCAAAATCTAACAGCTGAATTGCGATTAAGGATCCGCTGCTGGCAAGTACTTTGATCCTATCAGAGTTGATGATCAGAAATTGCCTTCAAGAAGATCGCGATGTACGCGGACAAGCTGGTCACGGGCCTATGAACTCCATATTTGCTGGAAGCCCTACACCTTTTGTCGCATTTCAATACTTTTGACCTTGAGATGGCAAATCTTATGCCTTTGTGCATCAAAGACAATACTTGGGATTTGGTTAAAAAAAAGTATAAGGTGTGCCGCTAGTTTACTGATCTTTCACATTTCCAAAATAAGAAATTAGAAACTCATGTAACTCAAAAATTTTGTAACCGACATACTCGTCTTTACCAAGCCAATATTAGAGAAACGACTGTACTACATACGGCTGGAGGGTGCTCACCTTGCGAATGCGGTGCTCCCTACGATAAATGTTCCCTCAATATCGAACAACTCGGATGTTAACCAGAATCATTTTTGGTTGCTGTATGGAGTAACTGACGACTAATAGCCATGAAATTAAAAATTAGTGTAACGAGGGAGAATTTGTATAAAATGTGGTTTTAAGTTTAATCAAACCAAGCATTAATGATTTGTGTGGTTTCGGTACTACGAGTGTCAGCTTATCGAATTCTCAGGGGCTTGGATGCAGAACGGTGGTTTTTTTAGACAGCTTGCTCACTGGCCATGTCGTTGACAAAATGAGGACTTCGACGGCACTGTGATTGAATTTTCTTTGTCATTTATGTTGCTTCTGTGTAACAGGGCACAGGGCTGAATAAGGTCACGCCTTATTGCTATACGGAGCAAGAGTACTTAGTAAAGGTAAAAAGTAGAAGTGTCTATTAAGTAATGTTAATCCTTTTAATAATCTTATCTAATCTACTTTTGACTATGCCTAAATACAAACATGTATCGTAACTATCTGCTCACCACTATTGTGTTCTTCTGTCGTGGCTCACTTTGTTAATTTGTATTATTTTTCTAAATTCCAAAAATGAACATTAAAGGACTTCTCCATCACATTCATACTTGTTAGGATAATATTCTAAGAATACGATGTCTCAATCAAACACAATATTTACAATTGACATTTACCAAAATTATATTAACATGTGACAGACTCATCCCGTTTTATTCACCCTTCGGGCTTGCAATCTTCACAACGTCTTTATGTAAGACGTCTTTCTAGAGTAATCTTATGACACTTTTCATCCTCTTGCGCTAAACCAAATCGTGCTTCTCTCCAGCTACATGTGTATCTGAGTTAGATAAACGCTCGATCCCACGTATGATCGAGCTCGATGTTTTGTTGCCACCTCTGGTTCATGAGTATGTAGCTGGTCATCAACCAGCCAGCTCAATACCACCCGGTCGTTGGGTTGCGCAACCGACTATCCCTATAGTTATCGCTTTCTATTCCAGTTGTGCCACCATAAGTTTTGCTGCTTTGTGGGTCATTGCGCCTCGGCATGATGTGATCGAGTTGTCGTTCCAAAGGTGGTACATATGATGCGGAAACACCTGCTATTTCTGCTTCAGGACCTCCTCGTGCCATATGCAACCACAGCAGGGAAGCTTTCGGCGGTTCACAATCGACGAAAACGAAACATAAACGATGCCATTCATAAACATGTGGTTCGTCTTTGTGGACTGTCCCCGCTCATTAGTGCTTTGCTGTGAACAAAAGCCGGTGTGGTTGTGTGATTGTACATTCGCAGTCTTGTCTTGTACTTTAAAGCGCGGACTAAAGCGCAGACTTAACACCGATGGTGCTTCTTGCTCATTCAAGAATTGGCAAAGTTCTGATCAAGCAATCAATCCTCCACGTTACTTCTTCCAAGCTCCGGCATAACCATGCACACATACTGTATCCTACTTTTGATACTTGTGGCCACTATTCACGTTAGTGGCACTGCAGCATCGTCACACAATCGCCCCGAATCGGATCTGATTCATGATGTGGCACCGGTCAAAAGTGGTGCCGCTCTTGGAGCTGGTGATGATAATCTTTTGCGCCGTCTCAATGTGCCGCCACAAAAGACTGATGAAGAGAGGATGTTTGGTTTCACCCGGTTTTTTGAATCGATTAAGCGGTTTGGACCCCACAAGACTAGCTCGCGACTTGAAAAAATAGCGAGCATGCATCGAGCGGAGATGGCGGCCTTAAAACAGCGAATGCGAAACATGGAGAATGCGAAGGGTAAACGATACACTGGATATTGAACGAAACGTAATTGCTTCATTCCGTTCTGAAGTAGCAATGCCCGCTACATACAAAGATTGTGTTCACCATAAAAAGTAGCAAGCATTGCGTTATAAGCCTTGTTAATTGTTTCGGTGGTCTTGAATATATTGCGTAATTTCTTACGCATAAAAATGGTGAGTCTGTTTCTCCCGACCGCCCTGATGGCCTGTTCAATCGTGTGATGCAACGTGACCATAAGGTGCCTGTCTTGCTTGCAGCAGCATTATTGACAAAGCAAACTGGTACAATTCGTGTGCAAGGCTTTTGCTGAAATTATGACGCCTAGCTTTGCTTGTGATACAACGACTTAACAGAGACACTTTCATTCTGTCCAGTACATAAGAATCTGTGCTCTGATATTCGTAAACTTATAGCATGTGTATCAGAAAGCATCGCCGCCGATTCAGATGGCGAACATTTTCATCAGGTAGTGCACTGAAATACGATGAAGTCGACACCAAAATGTTCCTAAGGGTGCAAACATTCGTGCATGTCATTCAGCACTTCTTCGTAGTGCCTACAGTCTGGATTACAAAGATAAACATCATTTCTCACGTCAGCAAGGATTCGTATATACGCAGTCCAGTCGGTCCACGAATGCTTGGATGCCGACGCAAAGCTAATCTGGAGCAAGTTTTAATCCGGAGCAGGTTTTTTTTCAAAAGCTCTTGGATCTCAGTATTACAGTACGCAGGCATATGCAGATTACTCACGTCGACAATACATCCAGATTGTCGAAATGGATCTTCAGCGTCCCGACTTCTAAAGTGATCGGAATAGAAGCCTGAGATGACATGGATTTCTGGTGTACAATCAGGAGCTTACAATTAAGTTAAAATCTTAGCGACAAAGCGTTGTCTATTGACGAATTTGCTCCTGGAAAACGTCAGTGTCTATTGGCATTCATAAAACACCACGGATAGAGTGGGTATATGTCGTGCGTACTAATGGTGCATTGTGCGCTAGACTCTTAGTGCTGATAAACCATGAGAAAGCCGCTAATGTACAGCGTTGACTTTTAGCGTCTGTACAATTTCGCTGCGCCGGAGAGGTTGTACAGATACTAAAACATAGGTATGCATGGGTACACAGCTAGCTTTAACTGTTCAACTATGAAACTAAGGGAAGTGTGCAAACCAAAGAATTCGTAGTTTGGTGAAGCCTTATCGTCATCTAAACATGGACGTTGGCAAGCAAATTATTCTCAAAATCGCGCAAAAATTATGCTGCAATTGTCGTATGGCCGCATTTTTTTGGTGGGTCGCGCTATTTTAGTCAGACAGCTTAAATTCCACGTTAGTCTTCTCAAGTAACAATTGGTGGAAAAATTTGAGTAAGTGAAACTCCCTTTGCTGGAACTAGCAAATGACAGCTCTCGATTAGCAGTGGTGCATTACAACGCTTCGAGACTATTCAGATTACAAACTGCAGTCTAATTTAGCAGTAAAATACCGTTAGTGCGTTTGGCTTCTTTTAAATCAACATAGGAATCAGTGCCTTTCTTTCTTTAAGCTAGGGTACGTACATCGCATAAGCTAGGGTAAGAACACCGTCTTATAGTTTCAGTTATCATTGCCCAGAAGCAGAAAAACAACATTCAGGAAAGATCACTGCGTACGAACGTATACAACACAGAACAAAGGCCCTACGAATGCAAGAAGTACGAGCGTGAGCAATCGTAGCAAATTTGCACAACTTGATTCAACACACTTATCCAAATATCTAATGTACCGTACCGCTGTAAGCACTATAAGACAATCAAGCTCTTGGGGAACAAGTCGTGAATCGTAGTACGATTTGTGTAAGCTTGATCTCGCGATACTAGCTTGTCGGCATAAGCTCAGAGATTATTTGCACGATTCTGGGGTTACTGTCTAAGCTATACCGCAAAACCCGCAGGACGTCGAGCTCAACTCCATTCGCACGTGGCTTTGCGCAGAACTACACTCAAGTTTCTATTTGAGCCCACACACTATTGCATGTCACCTTTTTGTATTTATTGGCACTAGCAATACTACTTGATCGCGCTCGTTCCTCGGTGATAAGCCCGCTCACTTCGCGCAAAAAAGCACGACCCAGTTTTCAGAGCTGCATCTACCTTGCTACATGATGCTATTATGTTGCTTTAGTTTTGCGTTAAGAGGCTTCACTGTCCTCGTTTGCTACTATCAACGGAGGGGTGGGTGTACAAGGAGATGACAGAGAGCATGGTGGCAGGACACCAAGAGCGGTGACGCTACTGGTTACTGGATTTGACCTTTACAAGTGTATGCCTACTGCACGGAAAACGAGATGATGCCCGTCTAGTACAAATAGTGTGAAGCTTTTTATTTGATGTTACCTGCGGACGCAAGAGTTCCAAGATGCGTCACCGTGTCGTTTTATTTCCGTAGCTACACTACGTCACTTAATCGAGCTGGGTATCCATCTCCTGAAAGCGGGCATGCACATTCTTTGCTGCTATGTTTGCAACCTTGTGGTTTTTACTGACTTAACTATGGCAAAAGCAACCAAGCATGAGTGCTAGATGTGGCGATATATGTCAATGACGCCGTTGTACGCTTGATGTTAGCAGGTTAGCAGGTTTACACAAAATGAGCGCGCGCAAGTGTTTGGACGAATGGACTGTTTGACTACGAGCATGCTTCTTCAATTGTTCCGTCACGCCATCATAATTCAACAAGTCTTAAATAAAGCAAATGTGCCGCCAACTCGATTTTCTCTGCCAGAAATAAACGGACGGCTCACGATCTGACCTCTGTTTAGTGGACATTTTAGAAATTCATGCCTCATTTGCCTTATCTTATTCTCAGCAAACGCCTAATCTAAAAGTAGCCGGATTTGCAAGTTAATGGCATTCACAGTAACTAGCCCCTACATTACACCCGGTCAAATTTACTTTTACCCGCCGAAGGGCAGCCAGCAGCCCCCACGTATCCTCACTTCCACCTCCTCTCCACCCGCCTGCGCACCCCGGTTCGTCGGCTTGTGACTCTCGCAGCTCGCCGACATAGAATCGAACAGAGTCGCATATCTTTACAGTGTTTTGATACGGAGGGCAAAATGTGTGAGAAGTCAACTAAGCCACGCACGACACCGTTCCAAATAAAGCACGTCATGCAGTATGGACGAGCTGATACGGTTGACTCTGAGTCACACACCTTTACATCCATCTCGTGCAAATTTTGCATCGCGTTCGGTCGCGAGGAGGTTTCAGGCCAGAGCGTCAGAAGACAGAATTTCTCAAAACATTCCAGCCGCCGTTCAAGCCAGCGAATTACCATACTCATCCGCAGCGCGAGCACCCAAAGAAACGAGCAGTATACCAGGATCTTGAGGCCACTCACAAAAGGCCCACTTTATTGTAGTAGTCCTATCCGCTAATCAGATTGTGACCTGCTTGAACTACGTAGTGGTGATTGCTAAGTACTAGCAGAATGTCAGTATTGTCGACGCTATCATTGGCTTTGGAACCTTGATGAAATCGAAGGCGTCAGTAGAGTAAACGCTATACGAATCTACAATGTGGACAATGATAATGGTGTTTATGTTGTGATGTAACGGGGCACCCTGAAGCTTGTACTGGTGACAGTACAAGCTACTTATTCTGATAACAGAATAAGGCGGTGCCTCGTAACTTCACGTACACTCGTACGTGCAGAGGAAGACGGTAAGAAGAAGCGAGTACTTGGTTAAAGTAAAAAGTAGAACTGTATTTATAATAGTTAATGTCTGCAATAAATCACTATTTATCTTCATCTAATTATGTCTAAATACAAATGTGTAAATCAGTTATCTGCTCACCACTCATTGCGTGCGTCTGTCGTGGCGCGTCTTCGTTGGTTGATATAATGGCCTATATCAACCAATTAGGAACTACTTGGAAGTGCTACAGAATATTTGTCCTTATGACAATATTCTGAGAATATAACTCTTATAGTTATATTCTATTAACAATTTCTTATAAATTGTTATGTAACGATTCACCCCGTTACATCACCCCCCCCTTAACCATCAGTCACTTTAGTGACTGATTGACTAAATGGATACTCGTCCCAAATCATTTGGGACGGGGTTTGCACTTGTTGGTCCGCGTCCACTTTCCAACATCTCATCGCATGGTAAACAAGCCCATGCGATGCGCGAGCAAGGCCGCCGAGAGCGCGTCTGCACGTCTCTGTGCGGACGCCGAAGCAGAGACAACAGCAACTGATGTCCCATCGGTTGCTGAAGAGACCCAGCCTGTGTCACTTGGTGACGCAGGCGCTGGTCATGAAGACACTCGTGTCTTCACAGAGTACGAGCTCGGTGTCTCGTACTCTCCTGATACGGATGACGGATCCGTATCGACGGCGATTGAATCTAAGCCGCCTGCCAAGCGTGGCATGGACGATGCTTTGCGTCGCAGCATCTTTGGTTCATCTGATGAGTCAGATGAACCATCGCCGAAGCGAAGGCGCTCGAGGTCGCGAGACTCGGGCGCTAACAGTGGTGTCGGTTCTCCCATGGACACCACTTCGCAACGAGGTGCCAGTACTTCTGTCGGCACATCGCAGGAAAAGCGGGATCGCAATGTCTTGCGTCTCGCTCCCGAGAAGAAGGCATGGATGCCTCCGAAATCTGTCATGGATCACTTGTCGGCGACGACGAGTGATCGTTATCGAACACGATTGTTCGATTCGTCAAGGATCCATCACCTTGACCCCAGCGCGAAAGACTATCGCGCTGAACATGAGTTCTTCATCGATGCTTTCTTCAGACATCGATGGTACAGTGGGAATCACAAACGTGATGGTCCCTCACTACTTCAGGCGTGGAACGCCTACATCCATAACCTCGAGGATGTAGGTCGTGACGCTTGGAACGACAAACTTATCAAAGCTCGTGATAAGTTTGAAAAGCGAACCCCGACAGGTGCACGCTACAAGCTGCATCGTCTGTCAAGGGAGAAAGGATTACCCTGCCTCTCTTGGGGAGA